GAGCTTGAATGGTAAACCATTAAGTATGTATGGTGTAACAAGTAGGCCGTCCCGGGGCCAGTCCAGACATTGGCTCTCCCACTTGTCTAGGGCAGTTTGCTCTTCTGCCACGCCTTTAATGTAACTGGAGCCTCCTAGGTGGGAGGCTACCCATTTAATTGCCCTGGTGCCAAGGGTGAATACACAGCTCCCATCCTTCCCTTATACCATGAACCATGCCTTGCAGCTGGCATCAATATCTACAAACTCCCGCAGCCCCTTAGCTGGGCCACACTCAGCCTTACCTGGTCCAAACTTGGCCTGAGGTGGCTTCAGACCTACCTGGGCCCCTGTACACCCACACTAGGACTTCAATACCCTGCCCCTCAACACCCAGCTCCTCACTGGGCTTCTGAGCCTAATGCCCCTTAGGCCTCACTCAGTGGGCCTGGGCCCTGTCTCAGGCCCCCCTGTCTCCTGGCCTGGACCCCACCTCAGGCCCCACTCAGTGGGCCTTGGCCCTATGCTTTTCTGTTGGTGTTGGGGTGTGCTCCCCAAGCCTTTCCCCTTCATGGGGTCTTCCGCAAGTCAGCGGCTGAGGCTTTCTGGTGCCCCATACTCACTGTTCATTGGGGAGGCACAGGTGTGGCATTTCCTGGAGACTGCCCTGCCACAGGCAGTTCCACAATGCAATCCTTCACAGCAGGGTGTAGTTTTAGGTTATGACCCAGGACCAGGAACCTCTTCCATCCCCATAGTTCATACCTTGAACCTCCAAGCTTTTCTGGAAGCAGCCAGCTGGGTAATGTTGCTCCTTCAGCCCCCTGCAGCAACTGCCAGCTCTGCTTTTTGGCCTAGCCTTATACCCAGGCACCTAACCTCTCCACCAATCAGGCAGCCTCCTGCCTAACATGTGACTACCTTCTTGAGCCTGTTCCCCCGTGCAGGCTGCTTACTGCCTGCTCAGACCCCTTAAAGTGGCAGGCACAACTTGTGCTTTGCCACATAGATCATCTGACGTTTTTAACTGTATTTGTTTATCAGGCACAACATCTTAAATAAAATCATAGGGGAACTATATCATTGGTAATTCAGAGAAGCATGAAGAGTAGGCAATACTCTTTCTCCCCACTTCTCTCCCCACACCTCTCCCCCTGCCCCCTGTACTTTCTCTCCCTCCCTCCTTTAATCACTTTGTAAGCATAGGGTTTAGGGTTTTCTTGTTAGCTCATTTATCCTTAAGCTTCATCAGTTCTTCACCTCCATGGGATGCCAAGCCTATTTTTGGCAGTTCTAAGATTTAGCAGGGAAATGCTGTCAACATCTCTAGGATCTAGCTTTTCAACGTCTAACCATTACACTTATAATCTTTCATAGGTGCAGAGCTAAACTTCCATATGTGAGCTAGATGCAAACTGATGCAGTACTATCCTACTACTGAATGCTCTAGTTTCCAGGCTCCTACTTATAGCTATCCTCGCTGCAAAAGAATAAAAATGGACCAGTAGCAACTTTACACTGCTCCTACTTGCATCTCCTTACGCCACAGGTATAAAATGCATCTGGCCCCATGGACCAGATTTTCATAGATTTCACAGACATTAGGGCTGGAAGGGACCTCGGAAGATCATCGAGTCCAGCCCCTTGCCCCAGGGTCAGGAAATCAGCTGGGGTTATAGGATCCCAGCAAGATAAACATCCAAATGTCTCTTGAAGGCATTCAAAGTAGGTGCTTGAATCACCTCCAATGGCAGGCTATTTCAGACCTTGGGGGCTCTGACAGTAAAGAAGTTCTTCCTTATGTCTAGCCTGAAACGGTCCTGGAGGAGTTTATAACTGTTCGACCTTGTCATCCCTTGGGGTGCTCTGGTGAACACCCCTTATAAACTTATAGGTGGCCACCAGATCACCCCTGAGCCTGCACTTTTCCAGGCTTGAAGCGTCCCATGGCTCTCAGCCTCTCATCATAAAGTCTGTTTTCCTGACCTCTGATCATGCCGTGGCTCTCCTCTGGACTCTCTCAAGCTTCTCCACATCCTTTTTGAATTGTGGAGCCCAAAACTGGATGCAGTACTCCAGCTATGGCCTCACCAATGCCGAGTACAACAGGAGAATGACGTCCTGGGATTTGCTTGAGAAGCATCTATGAATGCAAGCCAGCATTTTGTTTGCTTTACTAGCTGCAGCATCACATTGGAGGCTCATGTTCATCTTGTGGTCAATCATGACCCCCAAGTCCCTTTCATCTGTAGTGCTAATCACCCTCCTGCCCTCAGGTGTGGACGCTTTACCCCAAAGTTTGGTATCATTGGCGAACTTGGCCAGTCCGCTACTGATACCGATGTCTACATCCTTAATGTAGATGTTGAACAAAATAGGTCCAAAGACAGAGCCTTGAGGGACCCCACTGGTCACGGCACACCACGAAGATTGACTTCTGATAACCACCACCCTCTGGGTCTGACCACGGAGCCAATTCCCCAGCCAGCAGATCGTGGTGGACCCAAGGCCACAGTTAGCCAGTTTTGCCAAGAGGTGATCATGGGATAACAGATTGAAGGCATTTTTGAAGTTAAGATATATGACATCAATCTACTCCCCCTTGTCCAAGTGATAGGTCACCTGGTCGTAAAAGGAAATAAGATTGGTCAAGCAAGACCTACCCACAACAAACACATGCTGGCTATCCCTCAGGATGTTGCCAGCGGCCAGTCCATTAAGAATGGCCTCTTTGATAATATTTTCTAAGACCTTTCCCGGGATAGAGGTCAGGCGGATGGGCCTATAGTTTGCTGGATCCACTTTCCTCCCTTTCTTGAAGATAGGCACCACATTGGCCTTCTTCCAATCTTCGGGCACTTCACCAGTGTGCCAGGAGTTCTCGAAGATCCATGCCAGGGGCCGAGCTACGATGCTAGCCAGCTCCTTGAATACCCTGGGATGTAGACTATCAGGGCCAGCTGATTTGAAGGTGTCCAGCCTCTCAAGGTGTTCCTTCACGAGGTCAGTAGTGATGGAGAGCAAGGGATCTCTCTCACCCGGGCCTCTCTGTCCCATAATGGGCAGGGGCATCCCATGGGACTGGTGAAAGATCAATGCAAAGTACCCATTTAGTAGGTTGGCTTTTTCCTGGGCGTCAGTCATCACATCTGATTTAGCAGGGGTCCAATGTTGCCCTTGCTTTTCCTCCGGCTCCCCACATATCTAAAAAATGACTTTTTATTGTCCTTGATACTTGTAGCTAGTTGGAGTTCCACCACAGCCTTGGCTTTTGTGGTTTGCTCCCTGCAGGACCAGTGCAGAATATTCCTCCTTGGAGGTGGAGCCCATCCTCCATCCTTTGTAGGTCTTTCTTTTTAGGTGCAGGAAGTCTGCTAGTTACTTCCTGAGCCAAGGGGGCTGCTGTGCCCTTTTGCTGCCTTTCCTCTGAGACGGAATAGCCTTAGCTTGTGCATCTAGGATTGCTCCCTTGAGAAGCAACCACTCTTCCTGAACTCCCCTCTCCTTGGGGTTGTGGTCCCTTAGGGCCTCACCAACAAGCCTCCTGAGCTTGTCAAAGTCAGCTTTCCTGAAGTCGAGGACTTTTGTATTGCTGACTGACTTGCCAGCTTTACGGCAGATGGTGAAGGTGATCAGCTCACGGTCGCTGTAACCCAGCTTCCCTTCGATCGTTAGGTCACTTATTAGGTCGTCCCCAGTTGCCAGTACCAGGTTGAGCAGCGCTTTACCTCTTGTTGGTCCATAGACTTCTTGTGTTAGATAAAGGTCATCCACGCATGAGGGGAAGCTTTGCGACTGCTCGGATTTGGCCGAGCATTCTTCTCACGAGATGAGTGGCTCAGGACCAGTTCATGGAACAGGTCAGACCTACAGACCACCTCCTCCCCCGACATGCTGGATCCAGCTCCTGTGGTGCCTACTCCTGGACCCATGCTGCCTGTTCTGGCTAGTCCAGGATTCACGCTCTGGCTTTTCTGGGACCCATGTGTGGTATGGATCCTGTACCATCAGGGCAAATGTCACGTGCAGTCTGTAGGTCTACTCTGAGACCCAGGGACACCACCAGGGCCTAGGTAACAGGTCTCCATGGGCTGTATCTTTGACACCCTTGCCATATAGAATTAAACCCGAGATTAGTTAAATCTCACTATAGCTAAAAGCAATGAGCAACAGCAGGGACATACAATTATTTGCAAGAAGGACTAAGTAGCTGGCATAATAGAAGGACTCTGATTTTCATCTGGTGGTAGCTCCTGAACAGGAACCCTATCACCTTGGTTTAGTCCTTTTGACTACTAGGTTTCTGGTAGTTCTTGAAAAAACTGTAATATGAGAGGGAAATAATTAAAGGAATTGGATGCACTGGAGGATGTTTGCAGAAGTTGGTGGAAGGGGACAAGAAGCTGATAAGGGAATAGAAAAGTTGGCATGGAGGAAGTAAGAGACTGGAGTGGGGTGGGGTGGGGGTGTGGAGAAAGGAGGTAGAGGAGATAGAGCTTTCCATGTAAGGAACTAAAGAAATTAGGAAGAGAAGGAAAAAGGAAGATTTCTAAAATAATGAGAGAAAAGATACATTCTTTGTATTGGGGATAAATTTTTTATATGGATGATGGAGAGGCCAACTTGGGAGGGAAGTTCTTCTTGACTTACTGCTCCCCAACGGGAGGAATTGGCTGGGAATGTGAAGGTGGAAGGTAACTTGGGTGACAGTGACCATGAAATGATAGAATTCAAGATTCTAAGTGGAGAAAAGGAAAGAAGTAGAATAAGACCACTGAACTTCAGAAAAGCAGACTTCAACAAACTCTGGGTGTTAGTAGGCAGGATCATGCGTTTACTGTTGCCTCAATAATTGAAATATATTCAATCTATTCTATGCCATTTACCCTAAGCATGTACTATATATGTATTTCACTTTGAATGATGTCTGTGGATCATTTAAGGGGGGGTTTTGTGTACTTTGAGGGTAACGTGAGCTTATGCTAAATGTAAAAATGCATATAGCACTTTTTTCTTTCTAGGAAAATACTGCGGTCTGGGCTTTCAGATGGATGGTTTGATTGAGTCAAAAAATAATGAAGTTACAGTGCAATTCATGAGTGGCGGACATGTCTCTGGGCGTGGATTTCTTGCTTCATATTCAACCATCGATAAATCAGGTACTCAATAGATTTCCTTACCTTTCCTTGTAATGAATAAACTGGAACAGTATATTGAATACACAGTACAAACTTATTTTTCTGTAGTCTTAACATGAGTACTGGATGTCTAAAAATACATGCAGTCTTAACATTTTTGACTATTCTTGCTGAGTTGCAGTAAGTTGCAGTAAGTTACTATTCAAAGTGGTTTAAGAAATGCAAATTAAGAACCACTTAATTTGAACGGGGTGGGCAAAATGCGGCCCGCAGCCCGAATGCAGCCTGCCAGACCATTCTATGTGGCCCACGGGGCCCCTAAAAAAATTTAGAAAATTAATATTAATCTGCCCCTGGCTACCTGTCATGCGGCCCTTGACGGCTTGCCAAAACTGAGTAAGCGGCCCTCTGCCCAAAATAATTGCCCACCCCTGGTTTAGATTGAAACATGTTTTAGATAAGGGATGATGGTGTTTATTTGGACTTTAACAACAAAAATTATAAACAATTGGTTTTGAAAAGATTTTTTTGGTAAAGTGGCAATCTAACAGAAAGTTTATCCAATATTCAAATTCTTATTAAAAATCCTCTGGTTACTGACATTTTTCTACCTTATCTATTTGCTCATGCCTCTATCTGATCATCTTCTTGACTGTTTTGCTCCTTGCTGCCTCCTCTTTGACTGGCCTTTTGTTATTCTTGCTCCTTTCTGAGTAAGCTCATACTTACGTCCCAGCTGATGGCTGCTTGTTCCCTTTTCTACAGTTTCTGTGTTCTCATGTCCTTATGATGCTGTGGCCTCTGCTAGAGGCTTCTATACTTATTCCTCCTCTTAATGCTGTTTCTAGAAGTGAATGCAGAACAAAATGGTGACCCTCCAGTTTTCTGTGGACCACAAGCGTTTTTCAGATGGCTCATTTGAACCTCTTTGCCAGAGTTAATAGTACAAAACAGTGTCTGAGGACTTTTTATTCTGAATTTTATTATTTGGTCCTGTGTATTTCAATTTGACAGGCTCACATTATTGTTTTTCACAATGTGGGAAATGCCTGTTTGTATTCTTTATGCCATCCAGCTCCCATGTCATCTGTTAAAAACTCATAATTGTTTTAGCTAATCTGTTAATTTCATCTTCTTTCTATTCATTCCCCATTGTCTTGTAACTAGAGCTTCAGAGCGTGTGACTCTTCTAAAGTGTACATTCATTTATTAGAATTGTATAAATAATGGAAATTAAATCACAAAAAATGAGCAATACATTTTTAATCCTATAGTTTCAAAATATTTTGTTTGTATAATTCTGTTGGTTTTCTAAGTCGTTCATACAAATTATCAAGGTTCTACTGTATATACAATACTTGAAGTATAAAATTAAATGAGTACATTGTTTTAATTTTGAGACTTTATTTGAACCAAAAGGCTTTATTCTGAGAGATTCAACCTTGTAGTCTTTGTGCACTTAAAAATAGACTAGAATTGGTTGTCTTTTTGTTATGTTGACCTAACATTTTTCTCTTTCCAGACCTAATAACCTGTTTAGACAATGCAAGTCAGTTTTCTGAACCAGAATTCAAGTAAGATTATCTGCTTGTTTTTTCCCCTTCACTACAGTTACTTTACCGTGCTTTAATTCATGTTAGTATATACCCCATCTTCTGCTGATACCATTTTGTTTTGAAGTTATTTTGGATATCTACATTTAAACTAGGTTACTATCAGGACTCGATGATTTTGACATTTACACTTTGCAAAAATGAAGATCTTTTAGCATCTTGGTATACAGTAGAACCTCGCTAATTTGCGTTAGTTCATACATAGAAGTTAGCAGTGTCCTGCTTTCCAGCCAAAAAATAAGAGATAATGACCTCTCCTTATTACTGAGAAATATGATTTTATATAATATACTACAGAACATATACTAAAAGGCAAGTATTACCGTATCAAAACTACATTTGTCAAAGGATCAAAGTACATTTTAGGATTCATTAGCCTTGCTTTTCTGTTGTCTGTTTCCCTCAAATTTGTGAAATTAATTTAATTTGTGATGGGTTTAATAGTGTGAATTAATGAGGTTCTGCTGCGGCATAAAAGCAGTTGTGTTCTTCCTGCTTGAATGGAAGACAAAGATGGACAACAGGACTTTTTCTAAATAAGTATACTTCTTAGAAGTACAAGCTATTGTAAAGCCCTTACATTAATTTGGGTAACTCTAGTTAATTTAGTAAGTTCTTCAAAAGTCATGTCGTTGCCAAATCTTTCAAGGTTCATCCTTTGCACACCTCCCTTCTCTATCCATAAATTTCACCTCTCCATAAATATACCTCCATTTAGTGGTAAATGCCTGTTCAGCAAAGCACTGAATTTGCATGGTCTTCATTGGAATGTAGGTGCTGGTGACATTTAGGCCACAGTATAGCACAAATAGCTTTCTCTTAAGTTTTGCACTTCCTTATTTGTGGTAAGAAATGGCACTAAAAGACGATAAAGGTGTTTTCACTGTATTAAAATATTAGTCAAAATCAGTCAATTTTTATGATTAAAGTATTTTCTGAAGCTGCTGTAAAGTATGTACACCTTTCAGATGCATAATTTTTTTTAAAGTACAGTTTCTAAAATAAATAAAAACACACTAGAACATTAGATTCTGATTTGCAGTATTCAGATTTTACAGATGTTACATATATGGTACCAAACATTAGATTTATACCTCCTTTATTGAAAAACAGCAATCTAGTTAAAAAGCACATTTCATTCCATTCTTTGAATGCATGATCTTTAACTGTATGAATCTTTTCCTGAATAATAAATATATTTCTTACTTGAAAGCTGTTTCAAATTATGGCATACCAATAAGTGGTTTGTTAGGGAACAGTGTAGAATATTATAAGCCAAACAAACCATGAATTTCCTGTTTGTGGTTTTCAGGACAAAACTTTAAACTCTAGTGTGCTGCTTCTTAAAGCAGTTTTTTTGTAAAGTGAATCATGATGATATGCCTATTATGACTACATGCTTCCTTCTCTTTTAGTAAGTATTGTCCAGCTGGATGTGTGATTCCTTTTGTTGACATTTCTGGAACTATTCCTCATGGATACAGAGATGTAAGTAAGCATATCTATATGCAGTTTGATTAAATTCCTTGCTCTGTAATAAAAGCCCATTACGGATGTTTGCCTTACAACATTGGTGCGAGTGATGGTCTACTGTTTTCCCCTTCAAAATCCAGCCTTAATGTCTATGAAATCTATGAAAATAACCATAAAAATAGCATTCAGCTTAAATGCGGAACTGACCTTTGGGCAGATCTTTATTTTGTTTGGTTTTTTGTACTTACACTATTTTGTGCACGCGTTAAAAATCAGAATCAAAAGTCTACTTCAGGTTAATATTAAAGTTTTGGCTGAAGACTTTATTGTCTTAATATCCTATTTCACATCTTCTATAGAACCAGGTAAATGCAAATCGATATATTTGTTTTAAGCCTTATTTTAAAATAGATATATGATTTCTGTGTGTAGTAGGGAGATAGATAGTTAACTAACAGTGTGTACTTTATGGTAATAAAACAATATATGAACAGTCTGAAGGAAATGGAATGTAACATTGAAATGTCTTTTTTTTCCAAAGTCCTCATCACTTTGTATGGCTGGTGTGCATGCAGGAGTGGTGTCCAATTTTCTGGGTGGCCGAATCAATGTTGTAATCAGCAAGGGGATTCCATATTATGAAGGTTCTCTGGCTAACAATGTCACATCAAAAGTGTAAGTGTATTTTGTATGTTATATTTTTATACTTATGGCTGGCTAATAGCAGATCTAAGAATGCATCTGTAATCATCAGGCATATTCTTAGTGTTCTAAATTAGTGAAAATACCCATCCACAGGAAAAGTAGATTCTAATCTGTGTAAGTGTTTATTAGAGGTGCACTGATATATCTGTGCTATATTGGATCAACACCTATAAAAGAATAATTAACATTATTGGCTATTGGATTTTTTTGGCCAGTGTAGCCAATAATGTACCGATAAATATAAGGTGCCTCCTGGCCGTGGCCCTGGATGCCAAGTTTATGCGTGCAGCCACAGCATGCACAGGGCCAGGAATGCAGCCGGGCAGTGTGGAGAGCAGCTCCCTGCAAGTAAGTCTGTGGAGGGGAAGGGGCAGGGGGGAGGGGAGTCGAGGCCCCCATAGTGAGGGAGAGAGAGGGGCCGGGGCTGGGGGCAGCAAATGTGACCCAGGGCTGGGACGGGGAGCGGGCAGTTCATTCAGGGGGCACAAGGCAAGGTGGAGGGGGGCAGCTCCCTTCCACTGCACACACCCATGGGGGAGGCATGAGGGATGTGCTCCCCTGGATGTGTGCACAGAGCGAGTGCAAATGTGCACTGTCTGCTGTGGGCTTGGGCTCTCTGCCCTGCTGCCTTTGCCCTAGAAGCCTCCCCTGCCCATCCAGCAGCAGTGGCAGCAGCAAGTTGTGCCTTCTGCTGCCAGATAGGTAGGGGACGCGCGGCCAGCACACAGCCTCTGGGGCAAAGGCAACGGGGTGGAGAGCCTCGAGTCCGCAGCGGGCAGCCCACGTCCACCCTCGACCTTCTTGGCTCCGGTTAGAATCTCATTGGACAAGCTTTAGTTCAAGTGCCCCCACTGGCATTTTTAAGCACCAGGACACTGATCCCCTAGATGAGCCACTTGTGGCTCCGTCCCACTCCCCACCCTGGTTCCAGGGTCCCATTCACTGCCCTAGCTAGGCAGTGCCCCAAGGCATGCTCCACTCCCTCCCTCACCGTGGGGGGCCTCGAGCTGCCCCCCTCACACCACTTCCCCTCCACAGATTTACTTGCAGGGAGCTGCTCTCCACAATGCCTGGCTGTGCTCCTATAAATCGATTATCAGACCAATATCGGCTGATAGCTTGGTGAGTAATTAGCTATTGGTATTGGCCAAGAAAATCTTTATTGGTGCCCCTCTAATGTTTATACTGTTCTCATTCCTATAATATGACTGCTTTTGTAGACTATCATAAGGGACACCTATATCACAAGGAAAATTATATCTTCCTTGCAAAATTAGAGAGGTTACCTTCAGAATTTATGGTCATGCCATGTGCTTTTTAGTCTTTCATTTAAATCCATTCTTGATTGAACATGGGTAGTCTTGACTGAAACTTTACTATTCAAGTCCAATTTGTAATTCTTTGTTCAGTTTTCTTACTTCCTCCTCCTTCCCCTTCCACTTAAGAATAGATTGAAGGGCAAGGAAATGATATAAAAAATTCTAACCTGTTTTCCTTGTTAAACTTTTTCAATTTGAATTCAGCAGCTTGAACCACACCAAGAGTCTCAAAATCATCTGGCCCCAGGGGCCAAACAAGGGACGCGGGGCTAGTCTGCAGACCAGATCAGGCCCACAGACCAGCCCCATGTACCAGATCCAATGTGCAAGGCAGTCTGGCATAGGCAACATGTGCAGAACATGCCCCATGGACCCATCCTGCCACATGCAACATGTGCCTTGGACTTGCCCTACACAGTGTGCCATATGGAGGGCCAGGGTCAGCTCATGCTACATGTGGAGTGGGGCTGGAGCCAGCATGCTTACTGCAAGCAGCAGACAGGGTCACTCCAGGGCACGTGCTCCTTCCAGTGTCCTTACCAGACAGATCCTCTTGCCATGTACAGCCTGTGCCAGACAGGCTCCATGCATCCCATCCTACCCATAGGGCTGGGGCCAGCACATGTGACATGTGGGGTTGATCTGAACTCCACAGGCAACACTGCGAGCCACTGATCAGTCACCATGGGCTGTAGCTTTGACATCCCTGAACTACCCCATGCCATATAGTTCTTTATATGTTTGTGAAAGAAGAAGACCTGTTTCTGTTTCAGGTTAGTTTCTTAGACTGACCTGACATAGATTAATGACTTGTATTTGGACACCGTCATCTATCTCTGACATCTGATCAGTTCTACTGTTGACAGCAGGGTTGGGAGTTTTCTATAAAAACCCCACTGGCCACTGCTGTTATTTTTAGTAAGCTTGCACAAAGCAAGTCACATTTATTGTTCTGATTGATGCAATGTTCTTCTGTTCATGGGCTTCCAGTGTGGCTACCATCACTGGAGCTGAATTAGCATTAGTAACAGTGAGAACTTTAAAAAAAATTACAAAACTTGAGGAAAGACAGGAGTCAGTATTGAAATATCTTCTTTGAGACCTGTACTGATACTTCAGAAGAAGTTATCTATTCCATATTATGTAGCCAGTAGGATTTTTAGAGGATTAGAACATTACTTTTTTTCAGAAGGCCAAAAACTTGTTGTCTATTGTTTCTCCTAATTTGAAGCCTTGAAAGAAGAAGGCTGAGGAGGGGACATGATAGAGGTCTATAAAATCATGAAAGGTGTGGAACTCTTGTTCACTAACTCCCAGAATACTAGAACTAACAGACACACATAGGAGACAGGTTTAAAACTAACAAGAAAAAGTACTTTTTTACACAATGTATAGTTCACTTGTGCAGTTCATTGCCAGAGGAGCTGGTAAAGGCAGGTAGCATAGCCAGGTTCAAAAAGGGACTGGGCAAATTCATGGATGATAGATCTATTAATAGCTGCTGAACAGAATGGATGGAGATGTATCCTGTGGCATCTTGAAACCAATAATAGTGGATGCCAGGGAGGGTAACATATAGGGGACAGATCACTCCAGATCTGTCTGGTTCAGTGCTCTCCCTCTAGCAACCACTTCTGCCACTGTGAGAGATAGGATACTAGGCTGGGTTGACCATTGGTCTGACCCAGTATGGCACTTATTTTTCCCTATTCCTTCATTAGAACATAAGTTAGGCAACAGTTTGAATTAGAAGTTCCCATTGGCACCCACACAAAAAACTTTTTTTCTTCCTTTGTTTCTGCAGAGGTCCATTATCTACAAGCCTCTTCACATTTAAGACTAGCGGTAAGAATATCAATCTATATTCTATTTATTCATTTTTATATGCACTTTCTGTGTAGGAAAAGTGTTTTTTTAATAAATGCAAGAGGCAAGGAATTTTTAGGATTCTATCTTTTATTTGACCCTCTATATAGTTGGGATTTTATAAAAACTTGGACTTTTAAAATAAAGCCAATGTGATGGAAAATGGGGGGAGGGGTGGGAGAGGGGAGTCCAGCTGCTGCAAGGATCCGCCATTTTGCTCACCCCTAGTATAAGGAATAATTTAGTGATTCTCAACCTTTTAAATTTTATTCAGCTGTTCTTAGCTAGAACTCTATTTATCATTCTAAATTAATCTTCTGTGTCTAGGTTGGAGACATCCAGAAATGTTTCCTAAACCCAACAAAGTTGTTGGTTAACCAAATTGTACTTACATGGCCCTTTAAGTCTTTCCCCATAGAGCAATATGCGATAAAACTATCTTGCCACAGAAAGATAATTTATTACTTGTTTCTCTTTCCTAATGTGGTTTAAAGTACAAGAATAACATTATTTCAATGCACTGAAAATTAGAGCTATTGGCATTTGCTTAGGTACTCTGTATTTACAGCAGTTTTTCAGTTTGTTTCTCATTTCTACTCCATTCTTACAGATCATTTGTTGCCTATTGCTAAGTAACTTAGCTTTTAAAAAATCTCAGTTCTCTTAATCTTTCTGGCATTGAGATGCTCAAAACTGAATGGAGTGTTCCAGATAATTTATCTTTAAGGCCCTAACAAAGCTGCCTGATCTGTCATGAATGCCCCTCCTTGCTCAGACCTAAATCACATTGATCTTCTCTGTTAGATTGTTGCCCAGAATCGTCAGTTTTGCACATTTTAGGGCTTTATTGCTTTTCATGTTTACCCTCTCTAGAATATATCTTTTAAATGATCCTTTCTAAGGTAGATTAGTTGTTGTTTTCCAAATTGAAACAGCTTTTCTTGTAACTTTTCATATAATATTGTTGTGTGTTATAAATATCAGTAATCCCAATGTAGGTTCCTTTAAACTTCACTAATGTATCATTTAACTGAATAAAGAGAAAGTGAGTCCACAGTGCATTCATGGAAGAGATAAAGAATAATCTAGGTATGGCAAAACCCTAAATTAGTACTTCATCTCAGTTTGCAGTAAGGCTGATGATATTGAACTCTGGGACAAAGGGAGCATGGCACATGTAGGTAAGGATCTGGAAATGGAAGTTTGCCCCATCTGAGGTAGAAGCAAAGCTCAGAGCTTTATTGCCATCTGTTTTGGAGGGAGAACCAGAAATGTGAAAGAATGTGTGTGTGCAATTGCAGCCGAGTAACAAACAGTTGTATGAAATCTATCAAGTTGTTGGGAATTGCACCATATGATTAGAAAGTATCTAATGTAGGACTTAACTTTAAGAAAAAGAAAGGGGGAAAATTATCTGAGAACATACACAACTATTAGTCTGACCTCGATAATATGCAAGGCCTTATAACAAATAATCTTACTTACAAATTTAAAAGACCTGGAAGTAAATGGGAAGTTGGACAAAACACAATATTGATTTACCAAAGTAGATCATATGAGGCTAACTGATAAGATAACTGTTTTTCTAGGTGGAAAATTCAATAGGTATGTCTGCACTTTGTATTGCATTTTATAACACCAGCTGAGAAATTACTGGGAAGCTGAGTACAATGAATATTACTGCAAGAAGTCTGAAGATGGGACTTGGCAAGGAGGAAATGATAGTTTTTCTCTTAACTTAACCATTATCAGGCAAAAAGGAGGTTACTCAGTGATCCATGAGAGCCCTTCCAGTCCTGTGTCTGTTCTGTGCTTTAAGCTTGTTATATTGTAGGGGTTAATATCAAACTAATATTACTCCATGGTATGCCATTAGACACTTCTGTCTTTACCAAGCAAGTTGCCTGTTATGCCCTTATGGTTGCTTGATTTTTAATCAAATTTGAACTGTCAGATATTGAGGTAATTTATCAGAGTTATTTGTCAGTCTAAAATTAAATGTCAATATGCAAATCCAGTATTTTTCATACAGACAACAATTGTGAACTTTAAAGGTGAATTCTGAACTGAAAATGCTATCTGTGTAGCTTTGACTTTTTTCTCCCACTCCACCCCCTCTCCTTTATCTCTTGTGTTGTTCAGGTTGCTATGGAACACTGGGAATGGAATCTGGAGTAATCCCTGATTCTCAGATTACTGCATCATCAGTTCTAGAGTGGTCTGACCGAATGGGCCAGGCAAATATTTGGAAACCTGAAAATGCCAGATTGAAAAGGTTTGGACCTCCTTGGGCTGCTTTAACCACTGACGGAGATCAGTGGTTACAAATAGATCTGAATAAAAAAAAGAAAATAACAGGTAACCAGATCAGAGCTAGCTTTAAAAATGCTATTATCCGTACAGGGAGTGACAAATGTTATCATTCTAAATTAGGACTATAGATGAAGTTTAATGGGTTTTTAATTTAATTAAATTAATGATGCTTCCATGGTCTCCAGTTAGAGAGAGGGTTTGTATTTTTCCTTTGAATTTTGTGTCTGATTCCTGCCTCATATTGGATCTTGAACCCGTCTGTTTCTGCTGGCTGTTCTGTCCTTGGATTTGCTTGTGGTTTAGAGCTTTCTTAGATTCATCTCAGTTGTCAGCTGTCACTGATGAGAAAATTTGCATTTTTTTGAGGAGGATCACTAAAATAAGACTTCTCATCTTACATAACAGTTACAAGCTATGCATTTACTAATGGCTCAGTGCTTTTAGGTCTCATGGCGTCTGCATTTTAATTTATTTCTGCTTGTCTAACAGGTGTAAAGTGAACTATGCTGGTCCGTGTTCTTTCCTTACTCAATTTTCCTTCAGTATGCAGTTTAATTTTTATATCACCTAACCTTCTGTGATCATTTGTTATCTTGGCAGTGTCATTACGTTGAAGGGAAATGGCAGGATCATGCTTCCGATCTATAATAAGTATTATTTGAAAAATGAGAGATTCCATGTTATGATGCTTTTTGTGTTAGTGTTACACTCTCCTGTTAGCCTTCCACATTTCTGTTTGTTGTCCCAACAGTCTATTTCTCTTTTAATGTTCATAGTGTCATCACATTTATAAATCAAAATTCAACCAACTTCATCTTGCCTTCATCTTACCTTACTTAGACTTCAGAAGGGCAGACTTTGGTTAAACTCAGGAGTCCAGTTAGAAAGGCCCTCTGCAACCAGGGACTGGACGATTTGGGAGTTCAGGAACAGTGGTGCTTCCTTAAGGGGGCAATTCTCACTGCTCAAAAAGAGGCCATCCCCAAATGGTCAAAAGGCAGGAAAGGAGCCTAAAGACCCACTTGGCTCAACTGGGATATTAGGGAACTTTTAAAAAAGAAAAAAGAAGCATATCAGTAATGGAAAAACAGTTCAGCATCCAGAGAGGAGTACAGTCACATGGCCAGGGTCTGCAGGTGTGAGACACGGAAAGCCAAGGTAGGCATGGAGATCAGACTGGCAACCGAAATAAAGGACAACAAAAAGTCCTTCTATAGGCACATAGGGAACAAGAAAAAAAATCAAGCTCCACTCTGGGACCCCTACTGAATATGGGGGGGCAGCCTGCAGTTGATCCCCGCAAAAAGGCAGAACTCTTAAATACTTACTTTACATTGGTATTCCTGAAATCAGATGGGAGCTGTTCACCTGTTCAGAGGCCCAGGAAATATGGGGAAAACAACAATCCACATGAAATCAGTCCCGAACAGGTGAGGGTACTCTTAGAACATCTGGATGTGTTCAAGTCTGCTGAGCCAGATGACCCGCATCTGAGAGTCCTGAAAGAATTGGCTGCGCTCATAGCAGGGCCTCTGGCAAAGCTGTTCAAAGAGTCATGGAACTTGGGAGTGGTCCTGAACGACTGCAAGAGGGCTAACGAGATACCCATCTTTAAGAAAGGGAAGAGGGGCAACCCTGCAAGGTATAGACCAGTCAGTCTGACTTCAGTTCTCGGAAAAGTCTTCGAAAAAATTGTCAAGAAGGCCATCAACCACAAGCTTGTAACTGGTGGGGTATTAAGAAGCAATCAGCATGGCTTTGTTGAGAGTAGGTCATGCCTAACAAACCTGGTGTCCTTTTATGACCAGGTAACTAATCAGCTGGACAAGGGACACAAAGTTGAAATCATTTACCTAGACTTCAGCAAGGCCTTTGATACTGTTTTGCATGAGATTCTTTCAGTTGAGCTGGAGGGTGCTGGCCTAGACCAGTCTACAGTAAGGTGGGCTGGCAGTTGGCTCAGAGGCTGATCCCAAAGAGTTGATGAGGATGAGATCCCCTCATCCTGAAGGGCCATCTCCAGTGGTGTCCCCCAGGGGTCAGTGCTTGGGCCATGCCCTTTAACATCTTTATCAGTGACTTGGATGAGGGGGTGGAAAGTTCAATGATTAAGTCTGCAGACGACACTAGGCTGTGGGGAAATGCAGGCACATCTGAGGATAGGGTAAGTATCCAGGATGACCTTGCCAGACTGGTCCTATGGGCTGAACGTAATCAGATGAGGTTCAGTAGGGACAAGTGCAGGGTTCTTCATCTGGATAGGAAGAACCTTCACCACAACTATATGATGGGTGGTGGTCCACTGGCTGACACTGCATCTGGGAGTGACAATCGATCAGAAGATGAATATGAGCCAACAGTGCAATGAAGTCTCCAGCAGGGCAAATAGAACTCTGGTGTGTATCCGCCGATGTGTTGCAAACAGATCCAGAGAGGTGCTTCTTCCCCTCTATTCGGTGTTGGTGAGGCCACAGCTGGAGTACTGTGTCCAGTTCTGGGCACCTCACTTCAGAAAGGATGTGGATAAGCTCAAAAGGGTACAGAAAAGGGCCACCTGCATGATTAGGGGGTTGGAGGTTAGGCCCCATGAAGAGAGACTCCAGGAACTGGGTTTGTTCAGTCTGAGCAAGAGAAGACTGAGAGGTGACCTGATAGCTACCTACAAGTAAGTTAAGGGTGAACACCAAGATCTAGAGGAGCAACTCTTCAGAAAGGCACTCCTTGGGAGGACGAGGTCCAATGGGCACAAGCTAGTTGAGGAAAAATTTAGGCTGGACATGAGGAAAAACTTTTTCTCTGTAAGGGTATCTAGAATCTGGAACACACTCCCAGCAAAGGTAATGCAGTCACCATCCTTGGAGGTGTTCAAGAGGAGACTGGACAAGTACATTGTTGAGCTCCTTTGAGCCCAATTACCTCCTGCTCATGGCAGGGGAGTCGACTTGATGATTTTACAGGTCCCTTCTGGTCCTTCGATTCTATGATTCTCTCACTGATCTTAACTCTGGCTGCTATCATTCACCCCTACTTATATTAAAGTTGTCAAAAACACAACAACTACTACAAAATGGTTGTCTTCCCTGGAGCAGGATTTTCTTTTGTAACTTCTCACCCAAATGCTTTTTTCTTTTTCCATTCTCTCCTTTCTTCATGCCATGTATCTTGTAAATTTTCCCAGTTGTCTAATGTAAATTATAAAACTCTTGGGGGGGGGAGTTGTGTTTTTCTTTACAAGGCTGTGCACTTCTCTGCAACTCTATATATTATTCACATTTATATATCTCATGTATTACGCCATGTATTCTTTTGGTAGTACTTGTCCTGTCTCTTGAATCCATTTCTAATTCCAGTCAAATAAGTATATATAGTATGTCCTTTCACTGCACAGGACGCCAAGTACAAGGTGAAGTTGTAATACCCATCTTTCAAAAAGTATAACATGTTCACCATTGTGTAACCATTTATAACTTCATGCTTTGGGGTGCATAATATCTTCATTTATCTTTTTTTTTAATCTCCTTCCTCTCACTCTCAGAGTTGATGTGCTGCATCTATACTTCCAGTGTTGGAGAGAACAGAATGAATGCACTCTTCTCATTTTAATGGTGTTCAGTCATGTGGCTGTAGAGAGAATAGCTGCTACTCGCATATACAGTGCATCTAATTAATGTCTATACATGTGCTCACTCTCAACAGTCATATGTCTATTGTCTATTTCATCTCTATGTGCTTCAAAGTTTTTCATTTTTTAATATGGGTGGTAAGAGCAACAACACCAACTTTGAAAATTTGGAGAAAATTGCTAAGATGATTGGCAGCAACTTTCACAATGCTTAACTTTTAAGAACATTTAATAGGACTAACTATATATTGCTTTCTTGGAGGTCTCATTGAGTTGGATGCTTGTCAACTTTACAACTTTACTGGTGCAATACGTTTTCTAGTTTCACCAAATGGCACTGTTGTTCAGTATTCAGAGCAGTAAGCCTGTATTTGGTGTAAATAGGAGCACAGATCAACTAACAAACCATCTTGCATAGAGATGACAGTTTGGGTCAGCTGGAGAATAGCCTCTGGCCATCATAGCATCTTAGGAGTTTTCCCAAGATTTTGTAGCGGGCTTGCACATCGTAACCACTGAGTTTCCTTATGTAAGTACACCATAGTTGGGGTTTTGGGGAGGGGGGTTACCCATACAATTGTCCCTGTTGTTTTGTATGTTGTCCTATTAAGTAGATATGTATAGGGTAAGTTAACAGTGGTCTGTGAGAGAAACTCTCGTGCAGTTCTTTAAGACTGTTTGGTCTTTAGTAACCTGTGTTTGTGTAGAAAGATTATTATCTGTTGTTTTGCCAGTTTCACCAAGGCTAGTTTTCTTTCTATTTTTGGAAGCTGATGAGGTTACGGTCTATGCTTCAGTAGGTGGTAGTGTTCTGTATGAAACCAGCAGTTGCATTCTAGGTGCCATTCACTTCCATTTCTTCTGCATTAACTCGTCAAACTGTTTCGCCTTGTTCTTAATGAGTATGTTCATGTCTGTGTGTGTGCAGTCTTTTGCATGCAGAAAGTGAGTTAGTTTTAGACAGAGTAGACATTGTCTTCATTACCCAGAGAGTCAAGAAGATGATCCATAATTATTGTGTGTTAACCAGTTTGGTCTCTCACTCTTCTCAGAAGTAGAATGTGTAAATTCAACTACTTATACTGTTAATGGCTGTAGGCTGGCTTTCTTCCATTCTCTGTCTCAGTACAGTCTAATTCAGGGGCAGGCGATTATTTTGACTAGAAGGCTGCTTAATAAGTTCTGGCAAGCTGTTGAGGGCCGCAAGGGTAGCCCCGCCCCCTGGTCACCATCTTGGACCCAGAAGTCCTGCCCCCTGACCTTTGTCACCAGAAGCCCCTCCCACTGCCCCCGGGAGTACTCTTTTTGGCAAGGGGATTTGCCATCTTGGCACCGGAAAATATATGTATATATATTTTAAAAATCAAATAACATACATTAATTTGATTTAAAAAAATATTTTTGTCCTGATCTGTGTGTTTGTTTAGTGTGTACATAAAGGTGATTGCTTAAAATGAAGTCTTACTTCTATATATTGTGGGCAGGTATGGAGGGGTGTGGGGAATATGGGTGGGTGGGTACAGGGTTTGTGAGAGCTGTAGGGGTGTGTGTGTGTGTGTGTGTGTGGGTAAACTTGTGTATGGCTATATGGGTAGATGTGTGTGTGGGGTTTGTGACTAACTGTAAGTGTGTGGGGGGAGGGTGGCTGGGATTTGTGGCGTGTGTTGAGGGGAAGGGTCTGGGGTGTGGGTGCGTGTGTATGGCAGTGCAAGGGGGGGCTGTGGGTACATGTGTACGGTGACGTGTATGTAGGACCTCCTCCACAGACATGCCCCGCTCCCTCATTGCATACAGCCCCTGCGACCAGTGGCAGCAGCAGGCAGCGAGGCCTCGGGGCACTGGCGGCCTGTGGCAGGTGGAAACCCTCAAGGGTGCACAGTCCCAGTGTGCCCCAGGACTGCACGTGGCTGGGCTACCAGGAAAGAGAGGGGTGTAGCTGGCCCCTGTCAGCCTGGGCTCTGCACTCCTGCTGCCCCAGCCTGGGCCCCTGCTGGCCCTGGCCCAAGGACACTGTCACAGGCCCAGTGCTCTTGCCCACCCGCTGCCACTTCCCCTCCCCACCTGTCGCTGCTGCCTTCCCCTGCTGCTTCCCTTCCTTCCTTCCTGCCGCTGCCACCACCTGCCTGCCAGTCCAGCAGTGCATGGTTCCTGGCTGCACGGCCAGATAGAATGGCCTGGGGGCCCAATGTGGCCCACGGGCCGTATTTTGCCTGCCCCATGTCTAATTAATATCCATACAAATACTATCTTTTGTCTGGCTGTAGTTGATTATTTTAATCTTACACTTATTTTAATCTCATTTCTATATTAATACTTTCTATAAAATACCTGTCTTATGCAAGTCCATTTATAATACAGAAGCACCCAAGCTTAAGAAAGCTTGGATCTTTTCAGTGTTGTTGATATCTGTAAAGTCAAAAATCATGGTGGTTTGTCTTGTTTTAGTATATCAAGAGCTCAAGTGTGCCAAGGCCAAACACAGCAGACTGACTCCATCAGAGAATGGAAAGAAAAAAAATGTTTAGAAAATGTATGTTTATAATTAAAACAGAAGTTATTTAAAATACTTACAAAGTCATAGTCACTAAATGAATAAATTACGGATCCTTCTGTTTTAAGACAAGCCTTTAAAATACAGATTGACCCAATAAAGAGATTGTGTTTGACTCCATCTAAAGTTGGCATATGTTGGATGAATGCTGCATATATTGAAAAATTGAATGAAAATGCTGCTATAAATGCCAAATTTCCAGTTGAAAAACAGTTATGTAAATGGAACCTTCATGTTCGCAGGAATTGTAACTACTGGATCCACTTTAGTAGAATACTACTATTACGTCTCTGCCTACAGAATTCTATACAGTGATGATGCACAGAAATGGATTGTATACAGAGAATCCGATGTTGATCAGGATAAGGTAAAATTACTCCAGACTTTCTCTATATATGACCAGGCATGATGATGAAAATTGTAGAGAATTTTCCTTATAGCATGGGAAAAAAAAGTTTTGATTCTTGAGTCATGGACACGACTGCACGTAAACAAAAGCAGTGTTGAACACATACAGATATGAGGATTTATAGTATGCGGAAAATATAAAAATATCTGTAAACACTGAAGTTTGGAGGCAACAGATGTCATGTCTAGACTAGACTTATCATGCCATGCCCACTATTGGCTGGACCAGACTCTCAGCATTATGTATTAGGCTGTACATAGCAGATGCGGCTACGCTTCTACCAGTCCAGGAAAGCCCCATAGCATATTTGAGATGAATACTGCTGGCCAGGGTAGTTTGAGCTAGATATGGCCAGAGGATAGAAGTCTAGCTATTGGAAAGGGTAAGTAGAATTTTTCCTTTTTTTCCATGCTCATCAATAAAAGATGGTAAAGATTTTCTTCACCTGATGAATGTAACATAGGTATTTGGTAGGGGTGTGCAAAACGGGCCGTATTTGATTTGGATTCAGCCCAAATCGCAGACAGCTTGATTGGGATCATTGTCCCGATTCAGTTTGGCCAAATCTGAAGATTCAGTGCTGATTTGGAGAATCAGCAATTTGGCCATAGACACAGCTTTAAATGTTTTTTCTACATACATTGAGATACCAGGCGTGGCTCGTGAGCATGGCGATGTTGGGGCAGATGGAGTGTCCACAGGTGCATGGGGGCGAGGGGGGGGCGTCCTGTGTGCTTGGTGGCAAACCAGGAAGTGGACTGGATGTGCTTCTAATCCACTTCTGGGTCCACTACCAAGCTCACCTGGGACACCACCCTCACCCCTCGCGCTCCCGTGGGATGCTCCATCCTCCCCAGCATCTCAGCATTCACGAGCCACCTGGTACCTAGAGGTATGTAGAAAAAACATTTAAAGCTGTGTCTATGTCCAAATCATCAAATCTCTCCGAATTGATTCGGAAGGTTCCAATTCGATTCGGAGAGATTAAAGGGTTTCCTGGTTTGATTCAGATTTGGAGATTCGGCTGCTGAATCAGGCCGAATCTCCACCAAATCAAATCAGCAACCGAGGCTTCGTACAGCCCTAGTATTTGGAGTTATTTCAGTTTTCATTTTCTTTCTATTATATTCATCACTCACTACTTGAACAAAACACTACGTGCATTTTACTTTTCTCATAGCAGTTAAGCACTTTAATTCTGTCATTAATACTTTGGTTGTATAAAATTCTCATTCAGAAAAGAACTAAGGTATGTAGCATCAAAATAAATTAACTTTAAGAACGTCAGGTTAAACACATAAGCTTAAAGTATTTGGGGGCAGTATTTCTTGCATTTTCATAGATGGTAAAAATTAAGAATAGTGCTCTGTCCTCCAGTTAGTTTGTTTCCCTCCCTCAATGGCCAGATTTTCATTCTGTTAAAATAATGGGAAGATTGCTGTTTATTTCAGTGGAACCAAAATTTGGTCCCTTTTACTGCTGTGTTTTACTTAATTTGTCTCATGGAATGTCTAGAAGAATAAGACGCATTTTTGTAGGAGTTTAGGATATACCCTAACATTAAAATGGATATATTTTTTTCCACATACAAACAAAATAATAGAGAAATCTAAATAAGTCCAAAGAGTGGGATGATATGGCATACTTTCTATAACTTCATTTAGAAGTTGTTTAATGCCATGGAGTAACAATAAGACAGTGTTGGTTATTCTTTTATAAGCACCTTGAGAAATGTTTTTCATCTGGCGTAGGAGTGGTTCATTTTATAATAAGCTTCCATTTGCACCTCTTTATATTAATAATATATTGCTTTTATATATCTTCCAGCAATAGGCCTTAAAGTGCTTTACAAGTGAAGTCAGTGGCAATGTCCCCCATTTTGCAGATACGTAAATTGAGGCTCAGGCAGATGGAATGACTAGTTAACAGTCATCCAAAAATGTAGTGGCAAAACCATGAACTGAAACAAACTTTCCTAAATCCCAGTTCAGTGTTTTGTTCATTAGCCGAGAATGTGGTATGATCTGGGTGAGACAGGTCTCTTTTTTGCACCCAAAATGTTTATGTAATTGAATGAGATTTCAAAAAAGGGAATAGTTGAACTCTCTAAAACAAAAATTGGAAATACTGGACCTCGTGTTTACTCATATCTTAGTTTGCTATACCACTGCTTGGTTTCCCTCACTTCTGCAGCCTCAGGAGGGAAGTTCAGACCTGTTAATCACTGAAGAGCATTGTTGGTCCTTGAGAAACCAACTAGTCAACCAGAGATCCCCTGCCTTACTTGTGAACACCAATGAAGATAAGGACAGTCATGGTTAAGAACTCCTTGAAACCACCCTAGGTATAGCTTTTACACAAGCTGAGCCCTTGGCTCCTTGGATTCTCAAAACTTGGCCTTTTGATCCATGATCCCCCTCTTTCCCCCAGCTATTTGTGTCCTCTCTTCCCCCAAAAAGCTACCTTTTGGCTTTTTGGGGGAAGAGAGAGATTTTATCTCTTCAAAGGGACAGGGTACCCAAAGTCACATGCAGTGAAGCCAGCAGTTCTTTAAAACAATATATATTGGTTAACACTCTGGGGCAGAACTGTACTGCTACCTAGCGTGTCCACAGATGGCAAATAGTTGAATGACCTTCAGGGAAGGTTAGCTGTGAAATAAGTAGGGGTAACTGATGAATAAGCAGTTGCAGACCAAGTGGCAGAAGCACCACCATGATGTGGTGGGGACAGCAGGTGGCAATGCTTTCCCTCCTGAAAAGCTGCTTATATCCTTTGATGGTGCTATGACATGGTAAGTACAGATCGCTACTATAATAGGCCTGCCCAGCTCCCAGCCATAGGTCTACAGGTCCTGAACAATGGAGGAGGCAGAAGATTTTAGAATCTCAACAGCTGTGAAAATGGATGAAGGCTGCAGTGGAACAAGATCCCCATTATCTTGGTCTCTTTGCCATTGGGTCAAGGACCTGTTCTATCAAGAGCCGTGTAGAAGCTGATGTGCAGCATCTAGTCCACGATAAAAGAAATCATGTAGGCATCTTCAACAAAGGAGACAAGTCTGACTGTGGAAACTACAGAGGGATCACCTTGCTGTCCACCACAAGAAAGATCACTGCGAGAACACTCCTGAACCGTCTCCTTTCACTTATTGAAGAGCTCCCCCTGGAATCTCAGTGTGGGTTTAGGGCATCAAGAGGCACAACTGATATGATCTTCACAACTCACCAGCTGCAGGAGAAATGCCAGAAACAACATAAAAATACTCCGAATTCTTGGCAGCAGTTATATCTTTTATTTGACCAACTAAATAATTGCAAAAAAAAGTCTTTATTTTCAAGCTTTTGGGCTCACCCACCCTTCCTCTAGCAAAGAGGAATGCACAGATTGTAACATTTCTCCCAGGTAGAAATGTATATACAGTATACGAAGTTTCATTTCTACCTGGGAGAAATGTTACAATCTGTGCATTCCTCTTTGCCAGAGAAAGGACGTGTGAGCCGTGTGAGCCTGAAAGCTTGAAAATAAAGACATTTTTCGCAACTATTTAGTTGGTCTAATAAAAGATATAACCTCTGCCAAGATTTCTGAGTATTTTTGCCTGTAGACAAACGCAGCTAAAACTTGTATCCCAGGAACAACGCAAGCCTCTCTATATGGTCTTCTTTGACCTCACAAAAGCTTTAGACTCTGTCAGCCCAGAAGTGTTGTGGAGGATCCTTCTGAAGTATGGATGCCCACTGAATGTGGATATCCATGATGTATCACCATTTTCTGCCTGCTCCATGATGGTATGTAAGTGGTGGTTCTCAGTAAAGGATTTATCACCAATCCCTTTGAGGCTGCATCATCGCTCCAACACTCTTCTCAATATTCCTTGCTGCATCTGACCACCAACAAGCTTCTAGCTGGAGTGGAGCTAAACTACTGAATGGATGGTAAGCTGTTTAACCCCAGCTGACTGAGCCAAAACCAAGACCACCCCAACCTCAATCATTGAGCTCCAGTACGCTGATGATGCTGTAGAGTGTACTCACTTGGAAGCAGACCTTCAGGCAATCATCAACATCTTTACCAAGGCATACAAGAGAATGGGACTGACACTTAACATTCAGAAGACCAAGGTCCTCCACCAACCAGGTCCTAATGAACAGTCCCCAGCTCTGGTAATCCATATCCATGGTGAGACTCTGGAGAACACTGAGCATTTCCTGTACCTTGGAAGCCATCTCTCACAGAAGGCTGACACGACAAAGAAATCCAACATCATCTCAGTTGTGCAAGTGCAGCCTTTGGACGCCTGAAAAAACAGGTGTTCAAAGATCATGACAACAGATCCGAAACCAGGCTCATGGTTTATCAAGCAGTCATGATCCCTATCTTGCTGTACAGAACTGAGACATGGACAATGTACAAGTCTTATTCTCCCAACTCAGCCAAGGTGTACGCTTAAGAGGAGGACAGAGGAAGTGCTTCAGGGATGTCCTCAAGGCCAGCTTAAAAAAAATAAAACATTGATGTCAACTCGTGGGAGACTCATCACCCAGGACTGCCCCAAATGGAGGAAGAGTCTGCTGCAGGGTTCTCAGTACTTTGCAACCTCACAACAACAATAGGAGATGGAAAAGCAGGAGAGGTGGAAACAGTGTGTCATGGACCAAATCAAGAATCCAGCACCACCTGCAGCACATGGAAACACATGTCCAAGCTGCAGTAGAGTCTGTTGATCCCAGATAGGCCACCCCAGCCATCTTTGGACACACAGATAAGACCATCATGGAAAAGAATCATCCTTGACTGCAAGAGATTGCCAAAGAAGAGAAGATCAGTTAACAGCAATACAGCCATCAGAATCCTGGGGGCTGAATGCAGGGTGCCCAAGCACCCTAGATTGGTTGAACCCTGACAGTACGTTTCCAGTTCTGATTTAAACATCTAGATTTAAGCTCCTGGGTTTA